ACTAAGTCCTGGATCGTCACTGAAGAAACTGTTGGGCCTTGGCCCGCTGGCATCTCTATGGCCAGAGTCAAAGCCCGGTAGCAATTGAGCCCAAAAGAGTTCACAGTACATCCTCATCGAGATGACTATAGCGTCCTCACTTCATCCTGCAAATCCCTAGCCATCGAGAAAGCCAGAAAACATCAAAACCCAAGACAGTCGCGACCGAAATCAATTCTGCATAGAGCCTCTAACTAACGGTCATCAAATTGAAGAAGAGAGAGAGAAGTGATCACGGATGCTTGACAAAGGTGTATATAAACATCTCAAGACTGAAGAAGAAGGCAACGGTTTCCTCTATCGGAAGAACGGGTTAGTTCTTGGGATAGCTGGTTAGGGTTCTTCTGTTTAGTGTCTGGATTCGTAGAGTTGGGGCTGTTGCCAGGGACTCTACGTGATCTGGGCATAGCTCTTTACTTGCTTTGTTCGCTCTTCTTTTTGCTTTGTTTACTTCTTCTCGCACTAAGCAGAAACTTTGCTCATTCAATTTGCTTGAATCAATACCTCTGCTTCAGAATAAATACTTTCAATTCTGTGAACTGAAATGAGTGAGACCTGGTATTAACAATTGGTATCAGAGCCCCCTTGTCGTGGAACCTTGAGTTGCCGATAAGGAGATCCTGTCCTTTACCATGTCTTCTAACTCATTTCCCACCAGTTCAAACCCTCCCTGGTTTTCTGGTTCTAACTATTCTGTATGGAAGAAAAGAATGAGACTTTACCTCCGAGGAATCGACTGTGAATTATGGGCAATTGTCCGAAATGGACCAATTGACATGAAAGAGGACGATGAGGAGGATTGGTCAAAAGAACAAAAGAAAAGTGCTCAATTAGATTCTAGGGCAATGCACATTTTACTTTCTGCTATTTCAGATGATGAGGGAGAAAGAGTAAATAAGTGTGAAACGGCCAAAGAAATTTGGGAAATCCTAGAAACTACTCATGAAGGGACTTCAGAAGTAAAAGAAACCAGAATTGATCTTCTTCTTAAGGAATATGAAACTTTTGATATGATATCAGGAGAATCAATCTCTGAAATGGACAAAAGATTCACTACACTAGTTAATCGTCTCAAGGGTCTAGGTAAAACCTTCTCTAGTAAAGAACTAGTTAGAAAAGTACTCAGATCTCTTCCTCTTGAATGGATGGCTAAGAGAACAGCTATATAGGAGGCCAAAGATCTTAACACTCTATCTCTGGAAAACTTGATTGGATCCCTACTAAGTCATGAAGAAGTGCTAAAACAAATGACTTCTCTTCATGACAAAAAGAGCAAAAATATAGCCTTCAATTCTGTATGTGGCAATGAAGGAGAGAAACTGGATGAGGAGTTCGAGAATGAACTTGCCCTCACCAGCAAGAAACTCCAGAGAATGATGAAGTACAAACATGATCAGAATGCTAGAAGGAACAATCAAAGCAATGGATATTCCTTTAGACCTTCTGGAAACATGACTCATCATAACTCTAGATCCCATGGACACAGCTCTGGAAATTCAAATGAAAAAAACTCATTTGGATCAAACAGACACGAAAACAGTCCTAAAGAAATGAAAAATTCTACTGACTCTACTGTTTGTTTTAAATGTGGCAAAACAGGTCACATAAGAGCAAACTGCCCTCTGAACAGAAAAAGAGAAAATGCCATGGTAACCTCATGGAGTGATTACAGCTCGGATGAGGAAACTGAAAACCTGGCTCTCATGGAAATCAACTCAAACGTTGAAGATGAAATCCCTACTGATCAGGTTTGGTCAGAATCTTCTTCTGAGTTTATCCCTGAGAATCAAAATGAAGATTTTTTTCTGAATGCTCTTTCTAATCTACAAGATGAATGCAATAGACTAAAAAGCAAATACTGTCTCGTTGTTGCTCAATTAAGTGATAGAGATACTGAAATAAAAAGACTGAAAGACCTCTTAGAACTCCAGCAGGCTGCTCAATTCACTCAAGACACTCAAGTTGCCAACTTAACTAATGAGAACAAAATCCTAAAAAGACAACTAGGAAACTTCTCGAGAACTCTGCCAGTGTACTCATGGAAACCTTCTGTATCCTACAATACTGGTTAGAATAACCATAATACTGATCCTTATAAACTCAAAAAACCATATAACTTCAGAAATTACTCTCCTACCTGCTCATACTGTAAAAAACCAGGATATGACTTTAATCACTGTTATTCCAGAAGACAAAAACCCAAACTTGTTTGGGTGGTTAAAAACTCTAATTAAGATTACTTTCCTTTCATAATAAGATTGGTGCAAACATCTGGTATTTAGATTCTGGATGCTCTCACCACATGACGGGTAATAAAGCTCTTTTTTCATTTCTGAATCCTAAAAAGTGAGGTAAGGTTTACTATGGTAATAATAACAGTGCTTCTGTGGTAGGAAAAGGTACAATCAGTAGCAACACTTCTCTTGTCATTGAAGATGTACTTTATGTGGATGGTTTAAAACATAACTTATTATCTATTAGTCAAATCTGTGGTTCTACATACAGAGTCATATTTGATCCTTCTTGCTGCATCATAGAAAGGATATCAGACAATGTTGTGATTTTCAAGGGAAAGAAAGTCAACAATGTTTATACTGTTGACTTGTCATCTCTTGATATGTCTGAAGAAATCTGTCTAAAAACTATAACTGAATCAGCTGTTATGTGGCACAGAAAACTTGGACACATGAGTCTCTCTCGATTAAGCAAACTCTCTAATCTAAATCTAGTTAGAGGGTTGCCCAAGATTAAAACTTCTGATAATTTCTCTTGTGAGGCATGCATACTTGGTAAGCACTGCAAAAAGTCTTTCAAAAGTAAACAAGATATAACAACTTCTGCTGTGTTTGATCTATTGCATATGGACTTATTTGGACCTACAAATATTCTGAGTCTTGGAGGTAAATCATATGTACTGGTAATTGTAGACGATTTCTCTAGATTTACCTGGGTCTTCTTTCTTTCTTCAAAAGATGAAGCCTTCTCCAAGTTTAAAAACTTTGTTCTTCTTATAAAAAATCAATTTGATTGCACTATTAAAGGAATTAGAAGTGATAATGGTGGTGAATTTATCAATGAAAATTTTTGCTTGTTCTGTGATCATCATGGTATTCTTCACACTCTCTCTGCTCCCAGAACTCCACAACAAAATGGTGTTGTGGAAAGAAAGAATAGATCTCTGATAGAGACTGCTAGAACTATGCTTATTGAGTTTGATTGTCCTAAATTCCTCTGGGCTGAGGCTGTGAACACTGCATGCTATATAATAAATAGAACAACTATTAGAAAAACAATTAATAAAACTCCCTATGAAATTCTCAAGGGTAAATCTCCTAGCACTACAAGAAACATCACATATTGCCACAAATTCATTGCCACGATGATTTGAAGTGTGGCAAGAGGTACCAAAATAGCCACAATGAATGTTATGACGTAGCTAATCATAATTTGATTAGATTATACGGCCACATAAGTAAAATTTCAAAGCTAATAGATTTTTTTAGTTTTGAGCCATAAGTATCGTGGCAATTTTGAGTACTTTAGCTACAAAAGTTTCTGCTACCAGTAAAAATCAAAACTACTTATAAGTTTATTACCTCCAAGTTTTTATTCATGGCAATAATTTTACAATCATATTACTTGCAGCCACTTAATAAAAATTGTGGCCGAAATTGATTTTTTGTCATGTATATTATTATTTGTAGCTTATGGTAATGCCAATTTAGTTTCAAATCAAATGGTCCGTGGCCAATGACTTTTAGCCACATCCAAAGATTTGTGGCTACAACTAGCTTTTGCCGCAAATATCATAAGTGTAGCTAATAATGACACATACGTATGATGGTGTCATAACAAGACAAGCATAACAACCTATAGCAAATTTTATAACCTTCCCCTACACGAAAAAGGAAAAAGTTACTTTTGTTTGCTTAAATTATTTTCATGAACAAGATCGGCTTTCAGTGTGCAACATATCTCCATCTGCCCCTTGAATCAAATGTTATAATCATAAGACCGCATGGTGTGTAATGGATTTTATTTCAATTTGATGAAGTTATATATATATATATATATATATATATATATATATATATATATATATATATATATATATATAAAAGTTATCCACTTGAAGTTGTAGCGAACCTTGCTCTGAAGTTGTTGTAGTATTTGATTTAATTGAAATTAGATCGTTAATCGCTATCTCATAAATACAAATATTACAAGTACTACGCACTTTTGAAACACACTAATTAACCAAAATCTGATCATCTAATTAACTAAAATTCAAAATTGTATATCCATCAAAGGATTATCATTCTTTACCATACATTTGGCCATTTGGATACAGTACTCACTCTAGAATGTTTAATTGCTAAAACTATATAAAAAAAATCCATTAATAGATGCTCATTCTTTATGAATGTTTAATTACCAATACAAATCTATCGATATAATTAACCAAAATCAGAAATACTGCAAAGTACAAACAAAATTGAAGAAAAAAGAAGAGACAAAACCTAAACCTGTACCATAAGATGTAATTGGTTTGTTGGGATCATAAGGGAAAGAGAATTGGGGCATCTTTTTCTATTAATTGATTGGTGTTCTTGGTAAGCTGAAAGTCTGCATTCGCACTCGTCCCTGAACATGAAGCGAGACACAGCTAAGCGGGAGAGCAGGGGAAGACGAAGCAACTGGTTTTTCTTTGTGAAATAGTAAAATAAACATCAATAACTGTAATTCTAAACTTTCAAGAAAACGTTAGTTTAAAAATTGTGGAGTTGTGAAGCATCTAATGCATTCTTGACTTTAAAAACTGTCATAGTCTAGCTTTATATATGAAATTTCAAATGAAAAAATAACAAATAATGAGTTGTCTACTCCATTTATAGCAATGTTAAGTGAAAAAAAGCAACCAATCTGTAATGTGTCTCAAGTGCTAGTACGCCAAGTGGTACCTGCCAAACAAAAATGTACAGTGATCACAATTCTAGTAGCTTATGACAAGAAGTCAATGTCAACTTATTCATCCTGATCACTATCATCTCCATATGCACTAATTTCACTATCATGACTGTCATCATCAGAATCAACATGCATCTCATTTCCATCTTCATTAGAGTCTTCCTCCCAACCAATTAGTTCATCATCTTGGACTGGGTAGGGGTTTGGATAAATAGGATCAGGTGTGTCTTGTTGAAAAGCCTCTTCTTGATCACCTGATTGTACATCATTTGGGTCTTTAGTGAGGGAATCAAACGAGCTTTGAGATTGACCTTTCAAAACAACTAGCCAATTAGGATTAGATCCATCTTCAACATAAAATACTTGTTCCACCTGAGATGCAAGTGCAAATGGCTCATCAGTCAATAGCTTACGAGTTGTATTGACACTAACAAAGCCATATCTATCCATTTTCACTCCCTTGCCGATGTTGTCAACATCCCACCAATCACACTTGAACATGACAACCCTATTGCCTCCTAGGTATTGAAGCTCCATTATTTCGCTAATAACTCCATAGTAATCCATAGCTTTTGAACCCAATAATCCTCGTAGCAAAATGCCACTATTTTGCTTCGCCTTTTGACTTTCATGATCTCTTGTATGAAATCTAAAACCATTTATCACATAACCATGAAATCTCTCAACGCCACATAGAGGACCTCGAGCTAATGAAATTAGCTCTTTAGTCAATTGTGCATCTTTGCCTTTGCATAGTTCTGATACCTATGAAAATTAAAAAATCATATATTTAAGTAAATATAGATAAAAGCTTTTTTATATAGATAAAGAAAAAAGAACTTACATGATGATAAAACCAGACATCAAAACCTACGGTACGATGAGAACTTTCATATTCTCTGCAAAACATAATAACACTAGTTAGAACAAGCTTATATTTATCAGCTAATATAAAGGCATGTTCCATGTCCTCTTTCTGCGGCCGACCGACTAAAGGATTGTATATGCTGCATTACAAATCCAAAGTTCATGCATACGGACACCAAACCATTAGACATCTAGCATTAATATGATACTGATCCAAGTCCGTATGATAGCCTACAGTTTCTTTTCTCATTCTTCACACCATATTATATCAGGCAATCATCAGACTAATAAAAGGATATACTTTAATCACGTTGCAGGTTTAACCGTTGCAGCAGAATCAGACTACAAAATTTGAACAAGTGCAATTAAAATATTCCTTCCCAGCCCATACTAACATAATACCCGTACTTCATAAATATATATATGTTAAAGTATTATATGATTGTATAATTCAAAATCACAAGTTCTCTGGTCATGGATAGATAAAAACATTATTCTAGAGAGTAATCGATTGAAGTAACATAATAATTAGGAGACATACCTTAAGAATGGTTCTACTTCTTCACAATTGTTTAAAATGTAGAGATGTGCTTGATTTCTTTCTAATTCCTCCAATAATCTATTTTCATCCATGGTTAACGGATAACCAGCACGTGCAAAAACTGATAATTTCTTACTTGAAACACTGTCATCTCCATCAGCATTTCTTTCAAGTTTATTGAATGGATTGTTTATCCCTTGTAAGTACCTTGAACAAAATATGATACTTTCTTCAACAATATATCCTTCTGCCATTGAACCTTCAGGATGAGTTTTATTTCGGACGTAACGTTTCAATTTCCGAAGATACCTATTTACATAAATATATGATCATCAATAATAAAATCTCCATCGAATTCAAATATCACACTTCAAAATAAGAAAAATATAAGGTAAACAGTACATTACCTCTCAATAGGGTACATCCATCTGAATTGTACAGGTCCAGCAAGTTTTGCTTCGGTAGCAAGATGTATAGTCAAGTGGACCATAATATCAAAAAAAGATGGTGGGAACAATCTCTCGAGCTTGCACAATGTTATTGGAATCGAAGACTCAAGGTGTTTAAGCACATCTACACTTAGTTCCCTTGAACACAACTCTCTAAAATATATGCACAATTCTGTGATGGCATCATAAACACTTGGACGAACAATTCCACGTAAAGCAAGAGGAAGGAGACGCTCCAAGATAATATGGGAATCATGGCTCTTTAGACCAAATATCTTTCGATCTTTCAGCCTCACACAATTTGAAATATTCGAGAAAACCCCATCTGGAACTTTTACTTTCTTCAAAAATGTACACAACCTCTTCTTTTCTTCTTTAAGCAAACTGTAACATGCAGGTGGCAATTTCCATTTCCCATCTTCCTCCACCGGATGCAACTTTCTTCGTATTTTCATATGCTCCAAATCGCGCCGAGCATTCAGACCGTCCTTTGTTTTCCCTTCAATGTCAAGTAGAGTGCCAATAATATTATCACATACATTCTTCTCGATGTGCATTACATCAAGATTATGGCGCAACAAAATCTTCTTCCAATAAGGCAATTGGAAAAATATACTTTTCTTCTTCCAATTCAAATACTTTTGACGGTCATATTTTGTAATCTTCTTATTCTCACCTTTTCCGAACTCATCGAATACAAGCCCTTCATGTTGTTTCAGCACCTGATCACCAAATAATTGTGTTGGAGGAGATCTTTTTTCTACCTTTCCATCAAATGAGCACTTATTATCGCGCCATTTATGATCAGAAGGTAAAAACCGTCTAGCACCCATGTAAGAAAACTTACACCCTTTTTTCAATCTAACGGAATGAGTCTCCTTATTGCATGAAGGACATGCTAATGCTCCCTTTGTACTCCATCCTGATAAGTTTGCATAAGCGGGAAAGTCATTAATCGTCCATAATAATGCTGCACGCATGCGGAATGTTTCTTTCTTTGAAGCATCAAATGTATCAACACCATAATACCATAATTCTTTAAGCTCCTCTACCAAAGGCTGCAAGTATACGTCAATATCATTTCCTGGAGCTTTATGACCAGGTATCAACAACGACATCATGCAATAGGATTGTTTCATACACATCCAAGGAGGTAGGTTATATGCAGTGACAATAACTGGCCAAGTACTATGAGAACTGTCCATATTGCCAAAAGGATTGACACCATCAGCAGATAACCCAATTCTAACATTACGAGGTTCTCGAGAAAAACCTGGATTTGCCTTATCAAAAGATCTCCACACTTCAGAATCTGCTGGATGTCTAAGAACCCCATCTTTCAAACGCTGATCATGATGCCATCTCATACTTGATGCTACTTCTGATGACATAAATAATCTCTGCAACCTTGGGGTTAAAGGAAAGTAACGCAAAACTTTGTATGGCACTCCTTTCCCCTTTGGTAATTTTTTACAATTTTCCTCCACTTTGTACCTCGGCTCTCCACAGTGTATGCAATTTTGCACATCTTCATACTCTTTCCAAAATAACATACAATCATTCCTACAAGCCTCTATTTCCCTATAATCAAGACCCAAATCTTTGATCATCCTTCTAGCTTTATAAAAAGATTTGGGCAAAGTCTCTCCAGCAGGAAGTGCCTCTTTAAACAACTTCAATATGTCTTCAATTGCAGTATCACTTATTCCATAAAGGCACTTGATTTGGAATAACTTCACAATAAATGATAACTTTGTAAAGTTCTCACAATTGGGATATAGTTTTTGTTCAGCATCCTCTAATAGCCTGAAAAACTTACTTGTTGTCCCATTATGCTTGGGAGGTTCTTCTAGATCTGGCTGAACTATATCTTCTTCTGAGGCATCATGCATTATAGAATCCACAACTTCAGGCCCTCTGACATCTTTAATCAAATCTATCATTCTACCACAACCTTCCCCCGGTACCAATTCATCGACAAAATGGTCATCTTGGACAAAGCTCTCTCCGTGGTAATACCATCTTGTATAAGATTTAACAATCCCATTCATGATCAAATGAGCCTTCACTTCTTCTTTGGTAAAGAGCAAGACATTATTACAATTCTTGCAAGGACACAAAATCACACCTTTCTCGTTGTCGTTGGTTGATGCAAAATCCAGGAAATCATCTACTCCTTTAATGTACTCTCTACTCAATCTATTTGAAACTTGCATCCAGCTTCTGTCCATCTTGTTAATCTACAGTGAAACATATAAGTTGGGTCAGGAAACAAAGAACAATAAAAATGCTCACAACTCTACAAATATATATGTCGGGCATAGGCATTCAATTCATAATTCGGGTTTCTTCTCATATTGACGATTTCCCAGTAGGGGTGAAACTGGGCCAAACCCAGCCCTGACCCCAATGCCACAATAATTCTGTAACTTTGATTCCATATCCTCCAACCTAAGCTATGTAGCCATGTACCTATGGCTATCTGTTCACAAGTACTCTACCCTACTAAAGAACTCCAAAAATGGTTTGTTGAAGAATGAAGGGAACATCTTAACAGTAAATGCAACCAATATAGCAATTCACCCCACGATCAATTCTCCAGTTCCACCACATCACATCGAGTCTTTGCCACGAACCCCAATTCTGATCATGACTTATGTACAACACAACACTGCTAAGCCATTAAGAAAAAGAATTGACCAAAGCCAGCAATTAATAAGACAGGAAAAGTGAGATGAACCAGTCAAACCTGGGTTTGGGGAGCAGAGAAATTGGGTGTGTGGAATCCGATTCAGAGCTTGGCGAGGGTGGAAATTAACGGTCAGTGGAGAAGCTGCAGGGCAGGAAGAGGAAGTTGGACAAGAAACTGAAGTCGATTCACTCGTGGAGGAAGCTCTCGAGCATCATCTTCGTCGCCAGCAATTCAAATGAATATTCTAAGTCAATCGTCTAATTACTTACCAATGGTATAAATTCACACATATACCATAAGTAATTCAGACTTCAAGTTCAATAAACTCGTCTCAATAAGCTCTAATGCCAAATTGTTTGCCAATGGTATATGTCTATATATACCATAAACAATTCTGACAAATAGCTTCACATTCATAATCACAAGTCAAATTGTTTTTCAATGGTATAGTGTACATATACCATAAACAATTCTGACCACATGTTATCTTGATGACCACCATTATTTGGCAAGCTTTTTCAATCCCTATCAGGATCCATTTTAGTTTCATTTTCCTTGCCCTCAAGGCATATGAAACATGAAATAATAAACTACACTCATGATAAACAAATTATAGGGGGACGCTTTTCACCATTATTTCAATTTACTTCAAGATCACAACTCAAACAATTTGTTACATAAACCAAATTTGTTGCAACTTGCAAGCATCAAAATTGAAACTCATACAAATTTGATGACAAAATTTGTTTCAACAATTCAATGTGAATTCTTTCAAATTCAAATACAATTGAATTTTCTTGAACTCTTCTCATAATATGAATTATGAATTTGTTCACATCTCAAATACTACAAAAGTATGTGATATCACTTAACCAAACCGATGTGGTTAATCCTTCTTAGACCGATCATCAATCATTTTTCATCTCATCAAGAATCACGTTGCGCAGTAACAAAACATGATAGTTGACCGTGCATTACTACTTAAATGGGTATCAATTAAATGATCAATTATGGTATGGCAACCACATAGACACAATCATATCCATTATCCACACACCAACAAATTATGCTTATTTAATCAGTTATAGGAACCGAGTGTTCCTCTGCATGAACTGACTATATGTATAAGCATATACATTCACAGAGTCATCCAATCAATTGTTGACTAATTATCATGCTGGCCCAATTTAATAACCCAGAACAAACTTGACTAATTAACCATCCTTGCCCAATTGAATGACTCGATACAAAGATCAATTAAACCCTTTACATGCAAGGAATCGCCAATCTTACTATGTCAAATAGATTAATTAATCCATGCTTATATTGCTTCGAAATCTATTCTGGAACCGAACCTGCCTTTCAGTATATGCATGCAATAACAGATGCATCCGATGCATCCATTATGACATCCCAAATTCAAGAAATGGGAGGGGCAGAGTATTACCGGTTTCTAGGGATACCGTAATGTTTCTTTTCCTATCGAGAGCAACCAGTAGAAGCAAAATTGGACCATGACATCGTTTCTTCCTTTCCAGTACTGGATTCGTATGCATTGATTCATCATCCATCCGGATGGTACAGTAATTGAGTTCTAATTCTCTCTAATTAACCATGCAAATTTATATGAATTTGTGATTCGGAATCCATTTGTTTATTGCATACGCCTTCAACGTACTCTCAACTTCAGAATCCAATTTTTTAATAAATAACACTCTAAGATTGTCAGGAACTGGTAGGAAAGAATATGATTGAATGCGTGATTAGATCACTCTTCTTAGAGTGTTATTTGCCCCCACTACAAATTGTTGGTAGGCTCGAGCAAACCACCTCCAGGAGTCCCTTCAATTCTAAGTGTGGAAGCAGCAATCTTGCAGACCTCTGTGTTTATGAAATAGAGAAGGAAAACGGGAACAAGAAGTAATCTCTCGTCATTAAAAGAGTTATGGCAGTCATCTATTTATAGTTGTGAAAACTGGAAGTTATCTTCCAAAGAGACACATCCTTTCACCAAAAAAAAGTTGTTACCTTTTCCGAAAATACACATCCTTTCACAGGAAAAAAAAGAGTTACCTTTCTGGAAGGATACATCCTTTCACAATATTCAAACGTTAATTAATTAATATAATATTAATTAATTAAACTGCCAAAAGACTCCATCTTTATACGTTACTTCTCCCATCAATATGGTATTACAACTTTATTAACTAACTCATCGCATCATCAATCTATTTGGAAGACCTTCATCGCATCATCAATCCAAAGCGATTGGAAGCGGATTGCGTCTCTACAACGATTTAACTATATATCGCTTTTTACTTGGGTGCTTTTGGTGGATCGGTGTTTTCTCCGGCAATGTGTTTTCTAGATCGCCGAACTCTCCGACGATGATACCCAAATGTATGTACTTGGGAATTTTTTTTAGGAATTTCTGTATTTTAGGGGGAAAAATCCAAAATGGAATAAGCCACGGGAATCTTGAACATGTTTTATCAATGAAACTGTTCACTCTCACTACCTTACTTGCAAAGGAACCAGCCTCTTGATCATTTATCTTGCCACCAGGATGTTACTTGAGTCATTTAAGAGATACGAGATATACCAAAAATTGTGCTTAATGTCATCGACCATAACATACCGTTTGGTATAAATGAATTCCATAAGTTTTGAGGAATTCATTTTGGAATGAAATATTATTGTGCTTGGTTTTAACAGAATTCATTTTCAATTCTAAATTTTGAATTCTATGAAATTAGAACTAGTTATAGCAATTCCGAGAATTGAAATGAAATTTCCAAATGAATTCCACAAGTATTTACTAATTATAACAGAATAATATAATTATCCTCTTTTATCAACTAAATTACTTATATATATGACATACCAAACGCAGGAATTCATTTGACAATGAATTCTACATGACAATTCATTTTATTTCTAAACATTTGAATATGACATATCAAACACAAGATTTCATTTGACAATGTATTCTACACGATAATTCATTTTACAATGAAATGAGTTCTCGATTCATTTGGTACCCGGTTTGTAAGCGGTCGTACACTATGAAACGAAATCAATCACCTATTAGGTTGCGTTCTGCCATGACAGAGAGAGTATATATCATATTTATATTCAATCGAAAACTACATTTTCTGTAAAAGAACTCATGTTCCAAGTGTAAACGTAAGTGGTTTACAAAGTAACGTATTAATACAACTGTGAAATTATGCATTGCAGGTGCTTTACCGCTATGTCATTGTAATACACAACTTCATACATTCCTCAACCATTGTCAAGACCACAGATAACAAGTTTGAGCTTCTTATTCAAAAACTATTTTCAATGGAAAAAATAACTACAATTTCGGGGGTTTTTTTTTTTTTTACTCTCATAGGACCACGTATCCCTTTTACTTAGGTTGCATTATAACCTTATAATCTACCGTCAATCTGGAACTCCTAAACTGTATCTCATATATCTTCACCCACAAAGCGGCGCTTTCCTGGATTTACATGTCACCTCAGGAGTTCATGCAATTGCCATCTCCAATAGGCATCCAACTAATGGAGCGGCATAAGGATACTCCATTCACACCATAAGTCTACATAGTTGGCCCCAAGTATTACGGCCTCGCTGACATACGCGTGTCTACCCTTTAGGAAAAATCATCGATCAATGGCTAATGTACACCATCCCGTTTTCATGCACATGCAACGCAACTCTATCTACTGCCAAGTAGCAAACCTTATCAAGTTTCTCCTCCTATCAGTACTACATGTGAAGAACTAGTTGATTTTTTATAAAGGTAAATAATTATGTATCTATATATGTCAAACAAATAAAAAGACTAACTTAGAATTTAACAAAGATTTTCAACTAAGATGGAAAAGGAGAGGAGAAATAGAGAATACTAAAAACTCATTAAAATGCAGGTCTAACTCTCATTTGATGAATAGGAACTCTGAGCAACTAAATAAGAATCGAGAAAACACATTTTGCAATAATGTGAAGCAAACAATAAAAATGGACTTGTTGGCTAATGAATAAGTATTGATTGAGTAACAACAAACAAAAAGGTAAATCTGAATTTTTTTTTTAGTGGAACTAGATTTGAATTGTTGAGACTTCATTAATGTGGTTCTCTTGTTCTTCAATGAGTGCAACTGTAGCGACTTTGTTGTCCCACGTTGCGGGTGTGCTCGAATCTAGCGAATCGCTAAAGAGATAAATAAGGTGGCCAAACCAAATATGAACAAAGAAGTTCGTTTCGTTGGTTGGGATGCCACTTGTGTTCTCTTCATGGATAATAAGAAAATTTTCAGTTGTTTACATATTTGAGTTCGAGCAAAAAGGAAATAAATAAAGGGGTAAAAACCAAATTCGAACAAAGAAGTTCGTCACAAAATAAAATAGTGATGACAATAAGGGAGGGAGGGAATGAGGGAGAATTTGGATGGGCTCACCTTATGAACCTTTTGCTCCTGAAGTTCGGGAGTTGACTGAATTGTTCGCTTGCACTTCGTGGCGAGTGATATATAGTCTTTCGTTGTCTTTTTATTCAAACTCGAGCGAGAGAAAATGAGGGAGGATATAAAATCAAATACGAACAAAAAAGTGAACAAACAAGGGAAAAAATCCAAAAGTACCACTGTTTAAAAAAAAATCCAAAAATACCACCCAATCCCAAAAAAATTCCAAAAATACCACCCTTTTTCAAAAACCGCCACCCCACCCAGCGGTTTGGTCGAAAACCGCTTGTCGGGGGCGCGGTTTTGGACCAAACCGCGGGCCTAGGGGGCGGTTATAAAAAAAAAAAATTTGGACCAAAACCGCTGGGTGGGGTGGCGGTTTGGCCCAAAACCGCCACCCCAACCAGCGGTTTGGTCCAAAAGTTCGGTCGAAACTTCAAACGAACGTAACTTTGCACTCGGGTATCTGATCGTAGTGATTTTTTTTTCATTTCGCATAACTTTTCAAGATCTACAACTTTTACTATGATGAAATTTTCAAAACAGGAACTATTTTTGGATATACGGGACCTTGAGAATAACTTTACCTTTACTTTTCAGAAATCCATGTACATTTTGAAGTTATGATTATATTAAAAGTTTTAGATCTTGAAAAGTTATGCGGAATTAAAAAAAAGTTCATAACATTCGGAGTTTGGAGCACAAAGTTATGGCCGCCCAAAGTTTGACGAAAGGCGAGACCCGGCGGTTTGCGGCTTGCAAGATCTCAAAAAGTTTGCGGCCTCCATTTTTTGAACCCGAATAAATTTTCGAGATCTTGCAAGTCTTAAACAGTCGGGTTCCGTCTTCGTCTCGAAAAAACGTCATTTGCCACCCCGAACGACCTTTTTTTATTTCGTCAAACTTTGGGCGGCCATAACTTTGTGCTCCAAAATCCGAATGTCATGAATTTTTTTTATTCCGCATAACTTTTCAAGATCTACAACTTTTAATATAATCATAATTTCAAAATGTACATGGATTTCTGAAAAGTAAAGGTAAAGTTATTCTCAAGGTCCCGTATATCCAAAAATAGTTCCTGTTTTGAAAATTTCATCATAGTAAAAGTTGTAGATCTTGAAAAGTTATGCGAAATGAAAAAAAAATCACTACGATCAGATACCCGAGTGCAAAGTTACGTTCGTTTGAAGTTTCGACCGAACTTTTGGACCAAACCGCTGGTTGGGGTGGCGGTTTTGGGCCAAACCGCCACCCCACCCAGCGGTTTTGGTCCAATTTTTTTTTTTTTTATAACCGCCCCCTAGGCCCGCGGTTTGGTCCAAAACCGCGCCCCCGACAAGCGGTTTTCGACCAAACCGCTGGGTGGGGTGGCGGTTTTTGAAAAAGAGTGGTATTTTTGGAATTTTTTGGGATTGGATGGTATTTTTGGATTTTGTTTTTTAAACAGTGGTACTTTTGGATTTTTTCCACAAACAAGTCAAAGATAAACACATATTTCTTTTTTTTTTTTTGTTCTTTTTTTGAAGAGCAACATAGAAAAAGGAAAATGTGTTTGATGGATGCTAATTTATTTTGTTTCTTCTTGAGTGAGGAGTATTACTTACACCAAATGGGAATATAGAGGACCAAATGGGAATATAGAAAGAAAAGAGGGGAGAAATAGAAATATAAGGGGAAATTATAGATAAATGGTAGGATCCACTCAATAGATCATCACCCTCAAATGTACAAATATTGAAACATAGAGGGGAAAGAGGAGAGAAACGTTAGCAAAGAGAGAAAATGGTAGAAAGATGAAAGGTTACAAGTGATTGTGAGAGGGAATAAACTAATACTCAAGGAATATAAAATAAAAAAACTGCAAGTCTAACTCTCATTTTAATGAAAAAGTAACTGGTGATAATCAATCATGGAAAGAGATTCTCCGAATAGGAACATTTAAACAACTTAATAAGAATTGACAAAAAAATGACTCGATGGCAAATGAATAGGTATCGATTGGGGAACAACAAACAAAAGGGTAAACTTAAATTCCTTTTTGGTTTTGGAACATGATTTGAATTGTTGAGACTTCATTACTGTGGTTATAGGTGTCAAAATAGGAACCGGCCCGAGTCCCGCTCAACCCGACCCGTAACCCGACCGCAAACCTAATTGACTAAAAGTCAACGACCCACAACCCGCCCAACTCGTAACCCGATTGACTCGGAACTCGATTAAACCCGAAACTGATTAACCTGACCCCGATTGACTCGAACCCGTCTGATTGACCTGAATAATTAATATATTATATAATATATTATCTTTCAAAATAATTTTTTTCATTCTCAACCTAAGTATAATAATTTATCATTTCCTAAAGAAAGTTCAAAATATGAAATATACTTGGAATTATCCTTTTTATTACAAAAATTAAAACATGAATTTCTTTAATCAAATTACAAAAAAGTAAATATAAAATAAACACAATGCTAATATTGATAATAAATAATAATCAAACATTTGCCTATAATAACCTTTATTATTGGAGAAGATGACAGGTTAAGAAGCAATTTTGGACGGGTAATGATGAAATTTTGGCCGGCACAATGTTTTGGGTGATGAAATGTTGGGCGGTGAAGGGTGACTGTGAAATTTGTAGAGCCAAACCTCTAAATGTATGATTTGTTAATAGTGTGTATTGGTTATAAATGTTGATATCACTATTATTATTAGTTAGTGAAATTTACAAATTATGATTAATTACATGACAAGTTTGCAAGTCATACAAATTGATTCAACATTTTGACTACTTTTTTTTTAATTAAGTATATATACGAGGTAGAAAGAAATTGGTTAAAATTTGTGAAAAACATTTTAAATTAGTGTAATAAAATATGTAAGTTGGTAACGAGTAACAAGTAAGTAACTCGATGCGATGACCCGAACAACCCGCAAACCGATCCGTCCAACTCGAAACCCAATGAATCTGCAACCCGATTGAATCCGAAATCGATGAACTCGCAACCCGATTGAACCCGACCCGATGAGCCCACAACTGATGAACTCGAAACCCGACTAACTCGCAACCCGATTGAACACAACCAAAACCCGCCCGATTGACACCTATAACTGTGATTCTCTTGTTATCAAGGTTGTCAACCCGCGGGTTGACCCGCCCGGTCGAGCTAGTGGGTCAAGGGTTAATGGGTCAACCGTTTTAGCCCAGTTTGGCCCGAAAATAAAGAAAGAGTCATTATATTGCACTTATCCTCATAAATTATATCAAATCTTATCTAACATATGAGTTATAACATATAATATTATACCAAAATAACATATCGTACTTAGATCCAACATATAATATTATACCAAAGATTGAGTTAGGCGAAAAGAAAAATTGGAAAATATTATACCAAAATTCACACACACTTATTTAACATAAATATTCAAATGTTCAACTTAGTATTCCAAAGATTGAGTTAGGCGAAAAGAAAAATTGGAAAATAGGCGTATTTCGCAAACTAAAGAAAAAAATGACACAATTTGACCTCCAACCCGGTACCTAATAGCGGTCGGCCTGGCGGGTGCGTGCGGCCCATTTTTCTCACCGGGTCAGGGTCAAATCGGGTCGACCCGTGGGTTGACACCCTCTTGAGGGGTGTACTCGAATCTAGCAAATCTCAAAGTTGTGAATAAATACAAAATTACTTGTTAATTATAAAATTACAAAATAAATGCAACCCGATTGAATCTGAACTCGATGAACCGGCAATCCGATTGAACCCGGCCCGATGAGCCCACAACCGATGAACTCGGAACCCGATTGAACCCAACCCAAACCCGTCCGATTGACACCTATAACTGCGATTCTCTTGTTATTCAATGAGTACTACTATGAAGACTCCGTTCTCCCCTCTTGGGGGTGTACTCGAATCTAGCAAATCTCAAAGTTGTGAATAATTACAAAATTACTTGTTAATGAACAGTAAAGTAGAAACTGATCTTTTTATAATGGAAAATAAGTTGTGATGTTTGTCCTTAATTGCTATCATCGTCATCCAACATCTCTTCATCTATCCAGTAAATCCTTTATCATTAGCACTTTTGCAAATGGTAGCATGCTTGCTAAAATAAAAAATCGTCTACCAGTGCATAGCATGAACTAAAAAGGCAAGAAAAAGAACATTCAACACCATTCATCAGGTTGTTCAGAGGCTCTTTCACCCTAACCATCTTCACCATTGATGTCCACCTCATTGTACTCATCTGCTTCAACCTCGTCTGTATCGGTCTCCTCTTCATCATCTTCATCTCTATTGTCATCAACGGTGTCTTCCTCACCGATGTCGATCACATCGTCAGTATCTAAGTGTATCTCAACGTCGGCTAGAAAAATCCGAACTTCACAAACACTTGATGCTCTTGGCCATTTCAGCAGTGCCCCAAGTTTTTTGCAATCTTCTATATTAATTCCGATGTCACGACCCCCATAAATTAGGTCCACACTCATCTTCTTTAATGCAGCTCCAGCCTTGAGCAAATATCTTGCCATTTTCATGTCCTCTGCAACTACTTTAAAATCATTCATCTCAATTTGCTCGAGGCTTGACAACAAACACTCTGGCGTGCAAACAGGTTCTGACTTCTCCCAATACAGACATCCCCCCTCATAATTCTGCTCCATGTATATATAATATAATTACTTATTTAGCATTCAATAATATGGAACCGAAGAAAGCTTTTAGTTAACGGGATAGATATGGAAACTCACATAGCCAATGACGAGAGTATTTAGCTTGGAGGCTGAGTTGAGCAAGGAGTGCAGAACGCGGCTGTATCCCGAAGCTTCAATTGTCAAATGTGTCAGCTTGGGAAAGACTGGGATTTGAAATTGTTTGACAGCATCTGACAGAAGAGCCTGAAACAAATCAACAATCCAGCTCTGATCAACCAAATTACTCGAGGGGAAAGAAAAGCCTGGTTGTTTAGGGCGAATTGTTTGGTTACCATAGTCATGCTAGATAACCACATTTGCTTTGCATTGGAGACTTGGGCGAGGAGATCAATCAAGGATCGTATTTCGCCTTCCTCCCTCATACCAAGCCTTGCCGATTCCAGGCATGACAATGGACAATTGCCTGCAATTTCCAACCAGTCAAAATTCTCAAGCTGAAGATGTTCAAGGCGTGCTGCTTCAATTACCACCGGGCGCACTAACATAGTTTCCATATTCAGATTGCCGATGATTGTCAGGTTCTTCAAGAACGGTAAGGAAGCAGTAAGCTTGTGTTTCCTATTCAGTTCTGATGGACAGTAGCATTCTTCCAGATGAACCGTCTCGAGGACAGGGCAACCAGTGATAAGCCTGCTTAATGCCTTGCCATTCACAGTCTCGACTCTCCAAAGCTCCAACACCTTCAAGCTAGGAAGGAAAACAGAGCCTTGTGCAGTAATTATCTTCAAACCGGAGAGCTTCAAGACTTTCAGATTCTTTAAGGTGTAGAAGCTTCGTGGGAGCTTACGCATACGATAGGGAAGTTTAATAACAATTTCCTCAAGCTGAGATGCAGCATTCAATTCAATCTTTGACAAGCAAATTGGACGCACGTTGGAGCAGTAAGCTAGATGGAAGCGCATCAGAGAATTGAGATTCTTGTGCTTACTCAGAACCCTGCGGACGAAGCGCGAAAATTCCAAGTCTCTCGCCTCTTGAACTCCACGGTCTGAAAAGAGTCCATCAAGAGATTGATTGTCGAGATCGATAATTGAAACCCTAGTCCAGAGATCCTTCCACCGTCGACTTAGAACAGAGGTGCTGACGGCGTACTTGGTCTGCAGGGAAGAGAGGATGTGGGTTAAGATTTCGTCCGGTAGAGAGCTGAGCCTGTCGCCATCGATTCTTGGATCTGCGAGCTTCCCTTGGTCTGTCCTCATCATCCGCGTTTCCGTGACGAAAGGGAGAGATTTCGGCCGGAAGTCAGAATTAGGGTTTGCAGTTAAGCATTCGAAGGGGCTCGAATTTGGCTATTTATGAGGCTTTACTTGCATAATACCATGGGTGACATTAGTGGCGGACGCAGAAATTTTTTATAGGGGTGTCCTCTTTTAAAAAATAAATTAAATAAAAATAATTAATAAAAATAAAATTGAAAATACCTTACTCGTATAGGGTAAAAAGGTTCATGATATGTTTTCATATTCGGAAATAATTGTAGAATACACTTGGTGTCTATAGTGTTAAAAAATTGTCTCTATATATATTACTAGACAATCATTCACGAACTTATCGCATATTCGATTTGTAAACTTGTTCTTGATGTAACCCAAAGCAAAAAGACTCTTTCAACACTTGCCATACCATCATAAAATCAATACAAATTAAGGGTAGTTTGAAATTGGTTTAATTGTTAGGTTTTTAAAATAATTAGAGATAGGGAATGACATTTTACTCACATTGTTCAAAATCGAACAACAAATGAGTTTAGCTCAACGGAAATTAAGTTTATTAATAATAATAGTGTTCTAGATTTGAATTATCCAACCTACCACTTATATTCCTATACACAAATGACAAAAGGATAATCATTTTTCAAATTTAAGGGTGTCCCTCGCTATCAATTATATTTTTTTTGTCCATACGTAAATTACTACCGGAGGTTGGATAATCGTTTTCCCAAAATTTAGGGACACCTCTAAACCCTCCTGGGTCCGCCCCTGGGTGACATTCTTTTTGGGTAGACGATGGGTTGCTTGTAGTGCCCATGTAAAGCTTGGCCATGAAGTTAGAGTGTAGAGCTTAATGGCTGTTTACCTTCAGTTCAGTGTTGGGGGAAAAAACAAGTCAAATTAATGTAGTTTGTGGTACTTGAAAGGGAGAACTTCATGAACTAGAGTCGGGTCCGTTCGTTGGTCGAATGAATTACATCAATAATATAAATACTAATCGTAATTATATGAATCATTTATTTAATATCATAAAATAAACTAAATTATTCAATTATTAAAATATAAAAAAAATACATTAGAAGTTCTACAACATCTTTGATCATGGACAAAAGTCATTATCAAAAGTAAACAATACAACGCCTGCAGGTAACCGATTCCTAAAAAAACTTCATATTCAAAATGTATTTCAATTTACTCATTGATGTTAGAAATTACTACAAATTTTCTTTTGGATTTCTTTTTGGTCGCTTTGCCATCAAAATCATCTCCTCCACACAACTTCATCTTTCATTAATGAAATTTTATATTCACCATCAATAGTCTCTTCCTTCTTCTCCTGTATTTTATTGAAAACCATTTTAATGGTAAAATGTTTGAAAATGTGAAACATCTTTTCACGATGCTAGCATTTCGCCTAATATAAATCATAAATATTTTCAATCATTCACTCTTTCCTCCCATCCCAATATTTCTATATCCACCATCAGTAATCTCTTTCTTTATATCAATATCGTCATTATCTCCATCACTGAATTCACTACCTATGATATTAGTCTACACTTCTTCTTCTCGTGCATTTCATTGAATGAAAATTTTAATGACAAAATTTTTTGAATTGTGAAAACTCCATTTTTAAGAACTTAAATTTACCAAGTACATGTCATGAACTTGGTCTGAGATTGCTCTTCTTCATCCTCCATTATCTTCAAAACTGTGTACCCACTTATGGGGTTCGCGATGCTGTAATCGGTGAACTTCATGCTCTTGGTTTATATGAGATGAGAAGGTGAAGGTTCTCTCATTTTGTCACTATTTTTGAGTAGTTTCTCAATAATCATTCCAAAAAATCTAACTTCCTCGGGATACAGAATAATAAAGTGAGATTAAACAAATGTTTTCTACAACTCATAGCTAATCATAAATCTATAAAATAACAACAATTAAGATCATTAATTGGTTGAAATTTATACTTTAGTGGGTACGTTTGTTTTCTCACTAATTAATGAACTTGAAGTTTTTTTTTTAAGAGTAGAGATAGATTGTTACCTAACTACTATTGTTTTTCTTATGTTGTTGTATAATTCTTATAAGTCACTCATCATAGCCTTCTTCAACTTTTCTTTGGAAAGTTATAATTTAATACAAGCCAAGTCGGACTTGAACTCTCAATCACGCAGCGAAGCAAGAATGGTAGTGTGAGGATGGGTTTCGGAATAGTCGAATAGAGGTTTTGGCGGATAAAACGAACCAAGCAAGCAACTTCAACACTACGGGGAAGAGGCTGGTTTGGGTAGAAGAACACCACGAGATCAAAGGTGATGGATTTGATCTCGAAGTCTGCAAGTCAAGGATCTCGATCCAAGACCAAATTTAAGCACTCGTGCTCAAGAAAACTCCTCGGAGTAACTTTGATTCAACTCAATGATAAAACGTCTTCTTTACAATGGATGACAAAGCTATTTATAGCCAAAATAACATAACCTAATCCTATTAAAACGATGAAAACGAATTCGAGTGCAACAAGGAAAGTAATTAACTCAAATCACTAAAACTTGCACGCTAAGTAAGCTGTCCAAAAACAGCCCTTGATGTCAACTTCGTGGTTCTGGAAATCGGTCTTCTGGGTTGAGTCGAGCTCAACCAATTCCTTCCCTTGGTTTAGAAAGTCTTGCACTTCCATTCCCAACTCCAAGCTCCAGCTGGTCATGCCCCAAACTCCTTGAATTCGAGCTCAAAGTTGGTACCTCAAACTGTTTCCCTGCCTTAGCCAAAAACTGGCAGTTTCCAGAATGCATGACAGGGTTTTGATGGCTTTGGAAAACAACCCTCCTAACCTTCTTCCACAATCCAAATGCATCAAACCATAAACAAACATCCAGGGTTCAAAATAAGACCCTAACCTTGCATTTCCAGTGAAAGGTTTGAGAGAAACAGCCCTCCAAAGTACCCTTCCCAAAACTGTCTCAACACTTAGAAAATTTCCAGCCAAGTTCGTATTAACTTGACCCGATCTTTGAACGCTTTGTTTGAGATGATTCAAGGGTGGAATTGAGATTATATCAAGCCCCCCTTCTTTAAAAAGCTTTGTCCTCAAAGCTTGAATCATCCTGCACTCAAAACGGTCGACAAAATCATCCCAAACATAATCACAAAATGTCAATGTCAAAATCTTATTTTCCGGTGAGGCCCGATTTTCCGGAGAGGCTTTTGGAATTGGGGCTTTTGATTTGCGAGTACCTCGTCCCAAATCACTGCTTGTATCGAGTTCGCCTTGCTCCCAGAGATCTTCTACATCCCTTTCCCGCTTTTGAATCGTCCCGAATCGACCCCAATCGCCGTTGCCGTGTTTCTCGCCATTCCAGATTCCGGTGACTCTTTCCCAGATTCCGGCGAACCCAATTGAAAATTGGGCGTTTCGATTTCAGGTATCGCCGCCCTGATTTCTCGTGTCCCACACCTTCCTTGAAGCCCCAGCAAGCTGTTCCAAGGGTCGGGTTGGTTCGAATCGCCCCCAAACTCCGCGACCAATTCCCTCGTCCCTTGCTCGTCGGTCGTCGTGTTTAAAGGCAAAAATTGGCTTTGAGCATTCTTTGATTTGCTTCGTTCCAGCTGGGTTTCGCCGTTCGTACACGTTGCTGGGTGGTTGGGGATTGTGATGTCGTCGTCCGTGGCACCCATCGTTGCTCGGAGCGCCCCACCCCATTCGGTGCTCTTCAGGGCCGCCGTCGAGCAGGGGCGACGAACTCTGCTTCTCCGGGCAACTGTCTTCCCTGCTAGGACAGTCAACAAATACCTTCGAGCCAACAGCTGATGCTCACGAGAGTCCTTACCTGTTCCGTCATTATTCTTGGTTCGATTTCGAGACAGATGCTCCTGATCGGCTCGAACTTTGTCCGAGGACATCGGTTTAAGCGTCAGCTTCCTTCCTCCGTGTTCGAGGGTGTAACAGTTGGTCCGACCATGGTGAGAGACCTTCCGATCAAATTGCCAAGGTCGTCCTAACACCAAGTGTGTGGCCTGCATTGGAATGACATCGAACAACAGCTCGTCGTGATATTTCCAAATAGAAAACGGAATCCGTACCTGCTTATTCACCTTTATCACAGCATGATCACTTAACCAATGGAGGGAATATGGTTCTTCCCGAGGAATCATAGTCAATCTGAGTCTTTTGACTACGTCAAGACTCGCCACATTTGCGCAACTTCCCCCGTCAATTATCACGGCCAGGTTCTTCCCTTTAACTTGGCAACGAGTGTGAAAAAGGTTGCTGCGCTGATCTTCTTCGGATGGTTGCAGCTTTTCACTTGTCAAGGCACGTCGAAGCACATACAGCGGGCCTTTAGCTGCTTCTACCTCAGAATCCGAGTCGGCATCATCTTCTTTCTGCTTCTCCTCTTCTTCTTCATCTTCAGAACAATATTGGCCATCTCTGAGAATAAGTGTCTCCTGGTTGGCACATTGGTGCGATTTATGCCCAAAACCGTGGCACTTCAAACAAAGAATTGTGCCGCTAGAAGTGTTTGCCTTCTCTGGAACACTCGGGTTAGTATTCATATTCATGGTACGAGGAGTTTCAGACTTTAATTCGGGTTCAAGAATTGGTTTGGGAGTGTTGTTTGCTGTAGAACACCTTCTGTTCGCACCCTGCAGCTTCACTTGTTTCTCAATTTTGGTGGCGAGATGAACTGCTTCCTCAAGGTCAATGAAAGACCTAAGCTCGACTTCATGGCGAATATCACGATTCAGGCCATGTAGAAATCGTGAGGTTGTTGCCTCCTTGTCCTCGCGTACGTCTGCGCGCATGAAGAGCAGTTCGAGCTCTCGGAAGTACTCCTCAACCGTCCTCGTACCTTGACGAATTCCCTGTAACGCGTCATGGAGCTCGCGTTGGTAATAACCTGGGACGAACCGCTCTCTCATCAGCCCACGCAGCTCCTCCCAAGTCGCCACGGGTGGTTGATGATTTTGCCGGCCACGAAGCTGTAAACGTTCCCACCATTGAGCGGCATAGTCCGAGAAGTCGTACGTGATCATGGCCAGCTCTGTTGTTCAGTGAATTGCCCACACTGGAAGAACAGAATGATTTTCCATTCCCAATCAAGGTATGTAGAGGCGTTCAGCGTTCCCTGAAAAGCTGGAATTGTTAATTGGATTCCACGAGGAATCACGACCTCTGTTTCTTGCTCTCTTCTCTGAAAATCGCGAGTTCTGCGATTACGGCGTCCGGGCTCGGGGTTGTGGATTACCAATTGCTGCTCTAACTCCGCAATCCGAGCTAATATCTCCTGGTTCCCTAGCTCCTGGTCGTCCCCTGCTTCTCAGCCACGAGGAGCTTCCCTTGTGCGACCCGCCTCTGGCAACGCTTGAGACAGAGTGTCGAGCCTCTGTCCTTGCTGCTCCAATTGGCGCTCAATTTTGTCAAACTGAGCCTGGAATAACGTCCTCATCTGCGCCGTAATAGTTTGTAGGAATTCTGTTGTATTAAACTGTCCCGACATCGCGATTTCTTCCTCCTGGTTTGGCTCGTCGAAATCGACCCCTTCCTTCTGTCGAACAGCAGGGTCTCGCTCAACTGGGCCTTTGGACCTCGTCCAAATCGTTGTTCCCGCAATGTCGTCCTTCGTCCTGTCCACTGAGGTGAACCGGGCTCTGATTACCACTTAATACAAGCCAAGTCAGACTTGAACTCTCAATCACGCAGCGAAGCAAGAATGGTAGTGTGAGGATGGGTTTCGGAATAGTCGAATAGAGGTTTTGGCGGATAAAACGAACCAAGCAAGCAACTTCAACAATACGGGGAAGAGGCTGGTTTGGGTAGAAGAACACCACGAGATCAAAGGTGATGGATTTGATCTCGAAGTCTGCAAGTCAAGGATCTCGATCCAAGACCAAATTTAAGCACTCGTGCTCAAGAAAACTCCTCGGAGTAACTTTGATTCAACTCAATGATAAAACGTCTTCTTTACAATGGATGACAAAGCTATTTATAGCCAAAATAACATAACATAATCCTATTAAAACGATGAAAACGAATTCGAGTGCAACAAGGAAAGTAATTAACTCAAATCATTAAAACTTGCACGCTAAGTAAGCTGTCCAAAAACAGCCCTTGATGTCAACTTCGTGGTTCTGGAAATCGGTCTTCTGGGTTGAGTCGAGCTCAACCAATTCCTTCCCTTGGTTTAGAAAGTCTTGCACTTCCATTCCCAACTCCAAGATCCAGCTGGTCATGCCCCAAACTCCTTGAATTCGAGCTCAAAGTTGGTACCTCAAACTGTTTCCCTGCCTTAGCCAAAAACTGGCAGTTTCCAGAATGCATGACAGGGTTTTGATGGCTTTGGAAAACAACCCTCCTGACCTTCTTTCCACAATCCAAATGCATCAAACCATAAACAAACATCCAGGGTTCAAAATAAGACCCTAACCTTGCATTTCCAGTGAAAGGTTTGAGAGAAACAGCCCTCCAAAGTACCCTTCCCAAAACTGTCTCAACACTTAGAAAATTTCCAGCCAAGTTCGTATTAACTTGACCCGATCTTTGAACGCTTTGTTTGAGATGACTCAAGGGTGGAATTGAGATCATATCATAATTAATATGGTTTTCCTAACCCATTTAAAAACGGAGTTGAAACGAATAAGATATAGTTCGTTAAATTTGTGAGAAATTGAAAATCCTTAACTATAGCTCTTGGGATTTGTGTTAGTTGTAACTAAAGGAGATTATGCACCAAAGTTCCGGCCCTTTTACTTGATTGTTTGAAATTATATTGGAATACTATTTTGTGAATAAGATGATTCCCTAAGGTGAATATATTTTCGAAGCATAGAATCAATAAATATAGTACTCAATAATAGTATCCATTGACTTAATAACTTAAAATATTATTGAAGCAGTTATAATATAGGGTTATAGGTATAATATGCCCCTCTACTATGACGTTTTATCAAACATGACCCTCTATTATTTTTTACATCAAACATGCCCCTGTACTTTGTAAAAATGATCAAACATGCCCTTTTGTTAAGAATCATCATCGCACTATCTCACTAATATTTTATTAGAACCAAGCAAACTTATGAAAAAATAAAGCAAACATATTGCTGGTTTTCTGCTATGGTAAAAGAAAATATACATCACAAATCTAGATCTAAGGTAGTATGCTCTCATAATTTTTTTTTATCATTTCACGGAAAAAGAACCTAAGAAAGAGATTATCTAGTTATTGGTTTTAAACTTTGAACTTCTAATCTCTATATAGAGATTGTGATCTAGATTTCATCACACTAAGAAAAATTCAATACCTAAAAGAAGAATTGAGTAATAAATTCATAAACTTTTTCGCCATATAACTCTTTGTCCTAGATAGAATTCCCAAGTAGCATCACAGATAAACTCATCTTCAGTCTCTTAGTCGTCAATCCTAACATATAAAAGGCATCATTGTAAAGAAGTCCTCATCTGGGATCTCGTTATTGGAATAGAAAAGATGAACTTCACAAGCACTCGATCCTCTCGGCAGTTTTAGCAGCGAAGCAAGAACTTTGCGGTCCTTTATGTCAAGGTCAACGTTAACCACGCGGAGATTCACCTTGTTCAGTACAGCTCCAGCCTTAAGCAAGTACGCTACCATTTTCATCTCATCTTCGGCTGCTGTGAGATCATTGATCTCAATTTCCTCGAGGCTTGACAACAAACACTCGGGCGTGCGAGCAGGTTCCAACTCCTCCCATTTTGTTCTAATTAGACTCTTCCCCTGTTTCATGTACATTCATACATTCGTTATCAACAACATGGAAGTTAGTTTTCAGTATACGGATTAGGGAAACTCACAAAGCAGATCACAAGAGATTGTAGCTGTGAGGCTGAGTTGAGGAAGGGGTGCAGAACGCAGCTGCTTCCACCGCCTTCGAGTGTCAGATGTGTCAGCTTGGGAAAGACTGGCAGTTGAACATCTTGAACAAGCACTGCGAGAAGACTCTGCCACAAACAAAGCAGCTCCAATAGTCAGCTTTCGTAGAACCAAACTAATCAATAGAGAGGGAAAATGTAATGTGGAGAGACAGGGAGAACATGGTTGATTACGAGAATCCGCCCAGACAACCACAATTTCTTTGCATTGGAGATATGGGTGAGGAACCCAATTAGGGGATGTTCTTCATGGGTCCACCGAATATCAATCCGTGCTGAAACAAGGCATGGCAACTGACTACTGCCACAAAATCCAAACTCCTCAAAATCCTCAAGATGAAGATGCTCAAGGCTTGGTGCATCGACTACAATGAGACACAAATTAGGATCATGACCGCCAGTGCCAATAATCGCTAAGTTCTTCAAGGATGGTAAGGAAGCAGTGATTACGTAGTTCTCATTCTTGTCTGAGATAGAGGAGTAGCAATATTTCATACGAAGAGTCTCTAGCACAGGGCAACCAGAAAAGAGCCGGGCTAAAGACTCGCAATCTGTAATCTCCACGCTGAAAAGCTGCAAAACCTTTAAGCTAGGAAGGAAAACATACCCATCCCCAGGAGTTAGCATAACGAAGTCGAGCTTCAAAACCATGAGATTCTTCAAAGCGTAGAAGCTCTGTGGAAGCCCGCGCATACCAGAATGACGCGGAGGGCGAACATCGATCTCCTCAAGCTGAGATGCATGGGAATCCAATTCCATCTTACACCAGAAACTTGAACTCGGCCTGGAGTTCGTTGAAAAAAGCAGACGCAAGCGCCTCACAGAATTGAGATTCATGTGCTCGCTCAGAACCCTATCGACGAAGCGGGAGAACGCCAGGTCTCTCGGCTCTTGAGATGGAACGTGAAGGGAGTCGACGAGATCGAGAATTGAAACCCTGGTCCAGAGATACTTCCACCGTCGGCTTAGGATACTGGTGCTGACGGCGTACTTGGTTTCCAGGAAAGAGAGAATGTGGGAGAGGATTTCGCCCGGTAGAGAGCTGAGTCTATCGCCATCGATACCGGTAGCTGGGAGGTTCCTTTTATCTGCCCTCGCCATTGGCGTCTTCATTGACGGAGGACGATGGGGGTGTAGTGAAATTTTAGGGCTCTACGACTGCAATTGGGAATGGGGAGGAGAGAAATTGACGATCTTACAAGGATTTTGTGAAATTGTAAGATTGGAACTGTTGCTGGTTAATCGGGGCGGATAATCCATCAGAGTCAGACATTGATACATAAACAAACTGCGAAAAGGGCGGGCCACGGCCGGGATGGGAACTCTTTTGGAGACTGGAGTTGTCATCTTCAGGGTTGAATGCATCTATAAGTGTTTTACTTTTGTTGAAAACTTTTGATAAATTAAAATGCATTAGCAGTCGAAAATATCAAGAATATCACTCTGCATATATACCAAATAATCATTGATTCAGTTAGTCGTAGTGTTTTAAATGGTGTTCTTTGTTAAGAACCGTTAGTATCAATACCTCGAGTTGTTGATAGAGGTTTAATAATAAATCTTATACCAACCAATAATTCATGATTTACCTAGTCGTTCGCTTTCGATTGATGTTCTTAAAAAAATATTTAGTATCAATAAATCGAGTTGTTGGAAGATTTCAATAATATATTATACCATTTACTACCATCCTCTCTTATAAGAAAGTCAACTTATACGAAATTGATGTTTGCACAAATCTATATACTGTATGCTTAAGAAATGAGGTCGCCAAGATTCAAACACAACTTTTCGACCAACTATTCTCAAATAAACGCGACCTAGTTTTTTATATCAATTAACTAACGTACCTAATTTAACCATTTCCCCCCGAACTAGGGTGGATCCCGGGACCCACCTTGTTACCCTCTCCCTCCGCCACTGGTGAGGCTGGTACATTTTGGAGCCCTTATCCGAATTTCCTCCCCAAAACCCCTCCACTTCCATCATCCCTGGCCGAGCTATGCTTCTCCAACGCCAATTTTGTCCCTCACTACTCCGCTCCAAGAAATCGAAATACAAACCTTTAAGCTCATCAAAGGTGTTGAAAATGTAATCATTGACCCCCCCGAGATATCTCGACCAAGTTTGACATCAGGACTTCCCAGACGAGTTACCAATCAAGATTCCTTGAAATGTAGCGGCCAAACGAGGAAGGGAGATGTTTGGCGTTGAAAGACAATGAGTCAGAAAAACCATCAAACACTATGAAGTTCTAATTCTTGAGCACCTTTGAATTTCCAAACAATAGGACTTGCGGGAATGCATAGGAGGAGAAGCAGGCAAACTAGAGGGATGCAAAGGTGATGGTCGAGGGCCAGAGTCCATTCGAGGAAAAATAATAGCAGATGGCGATGATGGGTCTGGGTGGAATCTAACCATTATGTAATGGGTAAGAATAAGATAATTTGGGAAGGGCGGGGATAATGGCAAGATGATGTTATCAATGCTGGCGGGGCGGAGAGGGAGAAAGGAATGATGAGGTGTTTGATAATTAGTTGGTTGAGGGATAGGAGCGGAGAGAACTAGGGAATGGTGAATTTTGACAATGGCGACGAGTGTAACAGAGAAGCGGCGTGGAGGTCAAGCTAGAGGTATAGATCTAGCCTCTAGGAGATTATGGACGACAAAAACTCTTTGCATTAAATCTTCAGATGCTGAAACCCAAGTACAAGTTAAGAGAGTCAAAGGTGGAGCATCGTCTTGACAAAATGCTCGTCTCCACCGCTTGCCATGGGAAGTGTAGGCGATAAAAATTATTTGGTGGATGATCTTGTTGGGAAGTTCTGAGGGCTAATCCTAATTCTTGGGGATAACAATGGAGAATTTAGTGATCGACGATGCCCATCAAGGCTGGGGGAGAAAGAGACACCAAAATACACCTCGGCCACGTGTAAAAATAAGCCCACGATATGACTGTGCAATTAAGCTAAGTTGGATTGCTCGTGTAGGAAAAATTATCATTTGAACCCACCATTAAGTTCAAAGACGGAATATAGAACAATGCAACATAAAACATACTTGTATGGTTTAATTGCAACGAAAAGAAGCTAGGTGGTTGGCATGCAACAAAAACAATATTTAAGTGGCACATGATGCATTTAACCCTCATTTTCACAATTAATATATAAAAGCCTTAGTTGTGTCCACTGTTCATTAGTGGCTCCCACGTTTCCTATTTGCGAGTGGGCTTCTTCCATTCGTTTCCTCTTGGCTGGGCCACGTTGGCCTCTTCTTCTCTCACACAAAAATACACAGCGCCATATTACCCCACTCGCCAGAGAAGAAACCTTGGTCCTCTCCTTTACCCGCCGGATCTTTTCTTTGTTTGACGGCCACTCGCACCAATCGAATGGACCTTGCCTGGCATGCTTTCGTACTTCCTTTTCTGCTTCCTCCCGTCTTTTCAACCCTCAAAACACGCAACCTTGCCATCTCATAGTCCTCCATTCCACACGCTAGCTGCTCCTTTTCCTTCTCTTTCCTTCTTTCACTGCATAGCACCCAAGGATTTTTCCTCACCCTCTCCAGCCACTCAATCTCAATGCCGGATCTCTCTCCCGCCATAGAATCTCACGTTTTGCATGCTCTTTCCGACGAAATCCCAAGTCCCGATCTCTCCCTCTTTCCCGCTGTTGAAGAAGAATAAGAAGAGGGGAATCGTTGGAGAAGAGGAAAGAGATGAAGAGGTATCGGTTGTCATTCTGTTTCTAAAGCGATCGGTTACGCGCGAATGATGTAGTAAATGATTAAGGGGAATCTGCCGGTGGGATTGGGTTGATCGGTCGGGGACGACGAAGAAGGGCGCAGGAGGTAGAGAGAGGTGAGGTAAAGGGTACAAGTGGTTCACAACGCAGAGAGAGATGGATAAGAGGAGTAAGAAGAAGCGGAGATGCCAGCGTAACAAGGACGCTCGGTCGTGGGTGACGGAGAGGAGAAAGCCTGCACGGAGGTTCCAGAGAGAGTAAAGAGGCCAGTTGGATAGGAGAAAGAAGAAGAAACGAGGTCGGAAAATGGGCAGTCGTACGAGTACGGCGGAGAAGCTAGAGGGAAAGTTTTCTGGGTATCAGCGCAACGCAAACTATGAAGTGGGAATGAAAAAGTTACTGCCTCTCTCCTGGCTTTTGCCGGCAATCAACAGAACCCATAAATCCCATTCCTCTATCTCCATTTTATCATTGTGGTACTGATCTCTCAGGGAGGCAGTAACTTTTTCTTTTCTCTTCTCATTGTGGTAATTGCTCTTTTCTTTTCTAATTCTGGTTTTTCTCTATGTGGTTTCGTGAAGAAGGAGAATTGAGGGGAAAAGAGAAATGCAGGAGTTGGGGAACACTCATTGTCAAAACAGAGATGGAGTGAAGAAAGGACTTTGGAGCACTGAAGAAGACCAAATTCATTTTCATTACATCAACAAAAATGCAGATAGCAATTCGGTAACCTTCCTGAGAATGCAGGGACCTCATTTCTATTCAATATAGGTGTTTTAGGCACTCATGGCAAGTTTGTCCCTCTTCTCTGTGGTTTTATCTTTTGCTTTAGGTTTATTAATCCATACACAAGACTCATTTGATCTGCTGCTCAACTGGGTGAATGTACAATGGACTAGGATAGGGGAAACAATCACAACAAGTCAACATTTTATTGTTTATCTTTTGGGATGAATGGTTGCAGACTACATATAATTGTATTAGGTCTATATAGATTTCAATATCCTGTTATTTATATCATTGTGATGTGTTAGAAGATTGCTTTGTGGAATTCATCAATAAAAATGTCTCCAATGGTTTTAAGAAAATATAGAACTTTTGGGGTGTTGGTATTCGTTTTGTTGATTTGAACGCGGTATCTGCTTGGTCTTAACTTCATTCACTTTTGTTCTGTAGGTAAGTACTCTTTTTCAAGCACCTGTGTGACATATTTGTTGCGTAACCCACCAACTCCTATCGCCTCATAACTTATATATAGCTACATATTTGTTCTTCACTTCTTTCGAATCCCAGCAAAGAACCCTATTTTTCGGGAGAATATTCCATCCGTGCAACCCACTTCCAACACACTTTGAAGGTTGCTGCAGCTTCCATTCACACTTCCAACACACTTTGAAGGTTGCTGTATGTTTTGGGTATTTATTCTCTTTTGGGCACTTTTATTTAATTATGCACTTCCTTTGTTGTTTGCTGGAAACAAACAGTGTCATCTTATAATGTTTCCTGCTTGGGGTTTCAATCCACTGTAGTTTCAAAAGGGAGTTTTATGCTGCACTTTTTTATTCAAAACCCATAGATTCAGAGGAAGTTAGCTCATTTACAGTTTCTTGTGATTCAACAGTCATGTTGTTAATTCTGTCCACTATTAAGAAAGCGATTGACCTTTGCACGAAGAGTGATCTGGATATGCTCTTGAGGTAACTTTCTTATTTCTAATTTCCTTATCTCCTTGCTGATTTCTTTGTGTATAGGTGGACTTCTAAGATCAAGATCATGGCCTCTTTCCTTGGTTTCCACTATATCAATGTTAAAGAGCTAATTCCACCAGATAATTCTGCATTCTATTGTTTCCATCCCTTATTCTTTCATTCTCATGGATAACCTCACTATTATTTCTTGGTCTAGCTTTTCATAGTTATTCTTAGACTCAAATTACAGCAATTTAGAATTAACAGGGTGTTCAGGTAAGTGTTAGGATTCGTGTTCGACGATGATAGGGTCTTGATTGAGTTTGGAAGGCTAGCTCCTGGCAAGCCCTTTATTTTTCTGTTTAGTTCCCTTGGCTAATTCCCTGAGTTTGCTGAGTTGTTCATGTTTATCCTTGATACTTTTACCATATATCTTGCAGCTAGAACTCAAAGTAGATCTGATCCTCTCAGCATTCATATTGCTGCTTAGCAGGTTTTAAGATAAGAATTGAAAAATGTATATGAGAGTGCTTTATGCTTTTGTCGTTGAGTCTTCTCGATGGAAACTGCAGAATGTAACCAGCCTTATTGAGTGGAGAGACGATATGAAAAGTTGTCTCAACTGTCACTTTATTGTTCAGAAGGTGTGATTCAACAATTGAACTTGCCAGTTCCAACTCACTACTGAATCTACAGAGTAACTATCAGCACCCACCCGAACTTTTTTGAAAGCAATATGTTGTGGCCAATCTATCAATCTTATTGCTGCAATTTTTCAAAGGAATTTCTCTTTATGGTTGATTTACAAAACAAATCATTATTCTCAATCGATGCTTGCAGTTTCTGCCGCTCTTACAGATTTGCCTGACTTTTTCTCATTTCAATTTAGTAAGGTTTCTTTACTTGGAAGCAACATTTTTTATTAATAAAGAACATGTTCCACATGCCTGTCTTTTTCTTATCCTGGAGATGTATTGCTATTCCATAGATACTTCAGCTCAATTTCGTATTGATAAGATGCATCTTTAGTGGCAAGTTCCGTATTTTTTATGTTCCATTTTGATCTTATATGGGTTTCAACTAATAGAGATCACTCAGATCAGCATGGGAATTGGAGGCTATCTTGCTTTTACTTGATCTCCCATTGGAGTTGGAGAGCAGTCGAGCTAAAAGAGTTGCTACATAGTTCTTGCGATTTCCTTGCCAATCTTAAGTACTTAGGTATGAAAAACCTCATGTTGGTTTCATAGGTTGAAAATGACCTAGATCCCTTTACTGGATGCGTATGCCATTCTGTTCATGTTTGCAATTCTGTAGTCTGACTAATCGATAGTTTTACCAGGGTACAACCAAGCTTTCTAGATGCAACTAAATCTTTTAAATTTCTCGAGTTTAATGCTTTTGCCCCTTACGAATATAGGTCAATGTTTGGAGTCGTGGGTTGGCCCAACTGAGGCAAAGCTCCATGAAAGGTGCCTCACCAAATCACTCGCAGTAGCACTTAATGCTCACTAAATGCTCATTGCCTTTGATTTTTTTGAAGTTCATCAGCCACTATTGAATAATGCTAAATGACCAGCTCAGGTTTACTTTTTTAATTTGCTAGCATTAGAACCAGAAAATATTGCCAGTTGTAGTTTCTATTTACTGTGTTGAATGTAAACACATGGACCCTATCACATGTGACACAGGAAGGATTGCTCAGCCAGATGATCATGCCAGTTTGATATACTGCCTAAGGTATGAAACTACACATATCACTGCTTCCTTCAACATTTAAATTCTTTCATTTCTTTGCTTCTCAAAACAAGAAGAGCATGGTCTTACTTGCAATGATTAATGGGGAAAGTTGAGCGGATACGATGGTTGTTGTTTTGTTGCCTAAGTAATAATGTTGTTGTAATTTCCTGATTATTAGGTGCCACCTGTCAATGGGAAAAGATGAACTGATTAACAAGTTAGCATTTGGTTCGTGTTTTTATTCCTTTTTGTGGTTTTATTTTGTAGTTTCAACTTTCATGCCAGGTTTCTCCCTCTGTTTCCTTGGTTGTTTGGTTGATTCCAAGTTTTCCAGCTCCCTTCTGTGCTTGAAGACTCCTGGATATTGTGGCTCACAAGCACCCTCAAAGGAAGTAGCCAGTATAGTGAAAGTAGCATGTTGAAGGAGAGTGCGACAGGGAATTGACAAAGACTAACTATTCATTTTGCCCCTTCATTCCCTACGGCATTCAATTAGGTTCATACTTAGTGTTATAACTTATAAGTGTCAACGGACTCAAAATAGATTTGTCAATGTTATTTCTATAATCCAATATGACCTCTATTGTTAGTAATGTGTGGATAGTGAATTGTTGTCGTCCTCTATTTGTTAGTTATAATAATTATGTGCTCTTTTCGACTTTATACTATGCGCGAAGCGTAGCGAGCGGGTCTTTGCTAGTCCCATAAATGATGAAACGAACCCAACTTCAAATGTGGTTGTGTAACAATATCAATGACTGTTCGATAAAATAACGCCACTTCCTTCGAGACTTATGGGTCATTTGCTTGTTGGATTTTAGAATGAAGGTTTTTAATTGTTAAACCTTTAGGACTTGTGATGGATTTGTTATTGCGCCACCATCACCCTGATCCTGCCCTTACCCTGCCATGGGACATTAAGCCCGTCCAGTAATTCCTTCGTCGTGACCGCACTGTCCGAGAAGACTCTTCCCAAAAGAGCACAAGAGAGGCGGAAGCGCGCATGCTTCACTTCCTCCAGTGAAAATTGGACGACCTAGTCTGCTTGGATCCTTGCCATGATCTCTACCTGCTCAATATTAATAGTAGAGTCAGCACAAGCATTATGATTGAGACTAGGAGATGCCGAAAAAGAAATAGGCGTTGTCGGCAAAGGATGGTTGCGCCAAGCACCCATTAGCAGTTTCAAAGGGAGGAAAGCAAAGCAGGGGGTATTTGATCGTTTAGAGCAGCGTATTGATCCCCCGCTCCCTTAACAGCTGAAATCCCAAAGAACGGTTACGAGGAGTTGCTATTGGAGTAGGATTACAATTACGAAGATATTTTTTTTTGGGTGAGCAGATACTAGGGATTAGAATCCCCCGAAATCCGGTATTAGGAGACGTGAGCGCCCACGCAATCGAGTTTCGGTCCTTGTTTCCCGTTTGAATGTCCCGACCATTTTTATGGTCACCAGCACGCCGGCCATTCACCGGCGACAGCCCCTAGGGCGACGTTCTTTCCGACAGCACACCAGAATCAGCTCCCTGGCACGCCAACCTACCCCTTCCTCCCATATTTGTCGGGTGTGGAGTACCAAAGGTTCTAGCCGATCCCCCAGTTACATCGTTGGTGATGCTAAAACTTCCAGCCTCAGTACTAGGCTGGAGATTATTGACTGTAAAAGGGGGCGAGGAAGGTTCCTCTTCATATTCTTCTATTTCCATCGTCGAGGGGATGGTGAATCGCCAAGCTTTCGATCCTTGACAAGAATTCTCATCAATTTCCATCGACGAGGGGATGATAAATCGCCATCCCTTATCTTTCGCTCGTCGACAAGGTTTCTTACCCGCCACAATTGGCCATTCTGGTAATTCTTCTCTGGTTTTCTCACGTTTTCGTTTTTTGCTAGGCCGGTTCAACCGAAAAAATCTAAAACCGGACCAGGAACGATACGGTAGGCTTCTGGTGTTCTTTTTACCGTGCCGGCCGGTTTTTACAGTTTAACTGGTACAAAAAGAAAAACTACCCGGTTTTGTTCTAACCGGCGGTAGGCTTATTGAAAGGAAAACATGGCCGTTTAAGCACTTAAAATTAAAAAAAAAGGAAATTCGACATCCAAACAGCAAAGTCAAAACGCTAATCCTTAATCGAACGAGCGAATCGAGACTCTCCCTCATCGTTTCCTTCTTCCCCAGACCCCAGTCCCGTCGCTCCTCTCCCTCTGGCGACCTGCGACCGGCGAGAGGTCGAGTCAATCCCCGCTGTGACGTTCCTCTTCTCTTCTTCTCTGACGAGTGGCGGCGAGTGGCTACCCACAGCCGATATGTCGAGTCGATCCCTTCACTCCTCCTCAGACGCGTCGATCCCTCAAGAAGGATGGGTTATGGGTTTAATTTTAGTTTTTGGAATGAGAGAGGTGAGAGACGAGAGAAGATTTCAGATGCAGAGGGAGAGAGAGATGGGGGCCTAGGGTTTCTCCATGGCTGTCCATGGGCTTTTTTTTAAGAACTCCATGGGACTTATTAGTTAGTTTGTGTGTTATTATTTGATTATTTACTATTTATTGTCCGGTATTTCCGGTACAATTCGATATTACTCCATGGTATCCTAATTTTTTCGGTACGGGTTTTTTGACAAAAAATTATTTTATTAGTAAAAAATAATATTTACCGGTATGAAACGATTAAACCACGATCGTACCACAAAATACCCTACCGAAAAGAAATCCGGTATGATGTCCGGTACGGTTTCCTGAACCATGGTGCGAAGAGGAAGTGCCGCCGGTTCTTCGAAAAAAATAGAGAAAAACCATTCGTCTTTAACCTAAAAAAACAGTGAGGTGGAGAGGTTGTATTCCTATTTTTATATTAGGTTAAAGTTATATAGACGATCCAGATGGAATGAATAAATGTACGGTCTAGATAGGATATAAGTTTGGATTAGTTTACAAAAGAACTTTACATACCGTTTGGTATAAATGAATTTCGTAAGTTTTGAGGAATTCATTTTAAAATAAAATCTTTTTGTGTTTGGTATTTAAAAAAATTCATTTGCAATTCTAAATTTTGAATTCTACGGAATTGAAACTAGTAATAGCAATTCCGAGGAATTGAGATGGAATTTGCAAATGTATTCCACAAGTATTTACTAATTATAATAGAATGACATAATTATCCTCATTTATTAACAAAATTACTTCTACATATATTATTTGGCGTCAATTGATGTAGTATGAGAAACGTCACCAAGAATTTGATTGCAACGCTAGTAGCATATGCTAGTTATTTTATATTTTTGCTTCGATTGTATCAGTACTTTGAGAAGGCACAACTAGATTGTAGGGTTCATCCACGAAATATTAGAAAAGAACTAATTAATAGAATATAACTACACTAGAATACTTTTGATATTCTACGTATGGGACCATAGACGTTTTTTAGAAGATGAATTTCAATGAATATTGTTTTTTCCGACAATTAATAAGGGTGTAGTTGTAGAAACTTTTAATTTAATTCAAATCTAAACATATACCAAACATGGTTCGGGAATTCAATTCATTTATTTCTAAAGATTGAATATGACTACCAAACACAGACAATGAATTCTAGTATTCTACACAGTAATTCATTTTAAAATGAAATGAATTATCAATTCATTTGGTAACAAATGGTGTGGTAGTATAATTGGTTATGATTATTGTCTTTGTTGAAATAGACTCGGGTTCAAATCTTGACATTGATATTTTTTATATGAAATAAATAATTAATTTTGGGTCAATTCCCGGTGGGCCGGGGGAAAAAAGCCTATTTATGTAACCATCGGGGTAACGGCAGCAGAATAATTGGAGAAATCGAAGGAAAGGAGTGCGTAGTGGTAGGCGATTAGTGCTCGCTCTCGGCTCTCTCACTGCGCGATCGATCGCTCTGCTCCAATTCCTCGCCGGTCTCTTCTTAATTACCGATAGTTTTTGTTTTGAAAAGTACGGACGGGGATCCCGTCCGTAAGTCTGTGATTGGATTTCACGCCGCCGTCCAAAGGTAGAAAACTAAACCTCTCCTCCATCTTTCGTTCAGTGCCTGCTTGTATCGCTTGTTAATTAGAATTAGATCGAGTGTGATGAGTTATTAGACGTGAGTTAGTGGGTTATTGGTTTCCTAGAACTAAGGGGGCTTTAGTTACATAATTGTAGGATTATTAGAGTTTTCATTCTCTATTTAAAGTAGTAGAAGAATGGAGGAAATCATTATGATTGAGTATAATCAGATAAGGGGATTTACATATCTAAGTGTTTTATTGATGGGTTATGCACCCATCAATAACCAAATCTGGACCCTTCATTTAGAAAATCCAGATCTAAGGATGGAGAATTAAAGCCTATTTTTATTTTCACTAGCTTTCTTAATTGACTCATATCTTTTTCGTTTTAACTCGGAATTTAATTTTTTTTGCACAGATGGAACGAATTCACCGTGCTCTACAAAATGAGATCAATTTTCAATATTTTTTTAGGAAAAAAAAATTCTGGCCTCTCGGTACCAACTGCATACCATATGGTATCTTCTTCGTTTTTAATTCGTTTTTGAAAACGTTTGCACAGCAGGGATGAGTTCATCATGATCTACTGGATCTACAAATTTCTGGGTGAACAAATTACAGGACCAAAAAATACCACACAATACCATACAATACCACCCTGGTACGGGGTGGTATTGTATGGTATCTTCTTCGTTTTTAATTCGTTTTTGAAAACGTTTGCTCAGAAGGGACGAGTTCATCATGATCTATTGGATCTACAAATTTCTGGGTGAACAAATTACAGGACCAAAAAATACCACACAATACCATACAATACCACCCTGGTACGGGGTGGTATTGTGTGGTATACAAATTTAAAAGTCGTAAATTACAATTAATATATTTCTACTATCATGTATTCAACCATCCTAGTATTGGTTTGTTCATACCACCATGATACGTTTTTCAAAACATAGGTATGCTTTTATTTCAATACCATATGGTATAGGCTGGTAAAAAATGGCTCAATTTTTTTTGTTCGAAAAATATATTAAAGTGGATATCATTTTGAAGAGCACAATTAATCTGATCTAACTGTGCAAAAAAAATTAAATTTCGACTTAAAATGAGCGAGAAATTGTCCGTCAAAGATTAAAGATGGAAAAATTAAAGGCTTTCCATGAGAGAGAGGATGCTGATGTCATGCTGATGTGGATGGGTTACTCATGGTTACTAACCATAGGGTTACTGACCTGATCCATTCCCGTTAATTTGGGAGATTGGTTTTGCGCGAAAAAAATTTCAGTTCTGCTCATGCCATTAAAGAGAATACCTTCTCTTCTACCAATCTATCTATCTTTTCTTCATTATTCTTCTTCCCATTTCGTTCTTTCTTACAAAATCTCATTTCGTGCGAAAGTACACATAACAAACTCAAATTAATTTTTGCAGAGAATGGACCCGGCGGAGAAGAGAACTTGGACGCTGAAGCAACTGGGGCGACAACTGGGCGAGATCGAGACGGAAAGTCAGGCCAGGATCGACGCAGCTTTTGCGCCACTGCAGCAAACCGAGAATACCATGCGACTTATCTTTGAGGGCTACATGGCCAACCGTGACTCCTTCCCAGTCGAGTCCCAAGATGACTTCGACATTGTCTTCATACTCCACGGTCAAGGCTTGCGGTTCAAGGTTAGGCTCTATCGAGAGCATCTAGGAGATGCTCTCTTCAGCGAATTCCAGAGAGCACTGACCAGATTGGGAGACATAGAGTTTGAGACTGATGAGTCGACCTGCCCCTGTGCCAGCAATTTGACCATCACCTGAGCATCTCCGATGATGCTAGCTGCATATGCCACATATATGAATAATTTCTACGATATGAACCTATCATTTTTTTCTCGATTTGTAGTGATTTTGAGAATTTTTACATTTCATTAATAAAACTTTATGATGTACTTATTTTATAATCACTTTATGAGTTACTCTTTGTGCCAAAACAAATCGAATCATGATACTAACATTAGCGAAAATACAAAATTTATGAGCGAAAATACAAAATTTATGTTTCTTTATTACTTCTATCTCCCTGGGTAGTGGTTGGTAGCTGATGGGCTGGACTTTCAATTTAGGGGTTGTTTGCTTGGGTCATTTTGGTATCAAATGACTTAATTGAGTTGTCCACATGGTGTCGGGTGCGTTTGTGAATTGTCCACAATTCTCTTCGATTTCACTGTCATCTTTTGGATTCAATTATTGACACTCGCTCGACCAATAAGAACTTGCGTTCTGGCAGGCTCAATTATTGGTATCAAGTGACTTAATTAAGTTGTCCACACGTTGTCGGGTGCGTTTGTGAATTATCCACAATTCTCTTCGATTTCGCTATCGGCTTTTGGATTCAATTATTGACACTCGCTCGACCAATAAGAACCTGCATTCTGGCAGACTAAAAGGCTGTGACGAAGATTGTCTAGGGAACCAATGGAATGAGATGGCCATAGCATCGAAAATCACTGGGGTATTTTACGTTGTATACATTTGTCCTATTGATTGAGACATAAATATGTAACTACCTACTAAACCTCATTGAGATTGGTATTTGAAGTTTTGTTTCTTACTGTGTTGCTACCTGCTAAACTCGTAGTTATACATGGTTGTTACTTGCTTCCAAACTTGATAAACACATTCTTCAAGTCACATGAACCCTAGATCATAATTTAAGGGCAAAGTTTATATGCCTTCAGTGCTTGGGTTATCTTCTTTACTTTGATGCTCCTTGCTTGGTTATAACTCTCAGATTTTACTCTTGCAAATGAAGTAGACACCTATGAGTATTGAACTACCAACAAGTCCTGTTTTGGTGCTTGAGGCATCTACATTTCAATGTTTTGAGGTAGCTTATGTCTATGGCGTAAAAACTGAAGACGTGATTGATGGCACATAAATGTAATATTATTTCGAATCGTAATAATCTGCATTTCTCTCAATTGTGCTCAATTGTTATTAACATTACACTTAGCTCATTATAAGAATTTTTGTTTCCTCACTTGCACTGTTGCAGTCTGAGATGTAAGTTTGTCGTAGAAAATCTCCTCTAAATTGCTCAAGTTTGAGTTGATAGTTGGGTACTTTAGTTGTTTACAAATAGTGTCTGCTTACAGAATCTCATATCGTGTGAAATTTGCTTCACCTCCAACAACTTGCTCAATTCTATGGGATTTTGATCATTTGACCGATATGTCATTCATGTAGGTTTCAATTATCATCCATAACCTAGCTTCTTTGTTAGTTTTTGTTGAAGTATAGGTGGTTTAGCTCATTAATTCACATAATGGACTTCATGAGGTGAAGTTGATCAAATTTTATTCTCTCATTATGCTACATGACCTATCTTTTATTTCAAATTGTTTCGCTCATTGCACATCTGTCATCGTGCTAAGAACATGTCTATTTGCATTTCTCATTGCCATCTCAACTTCCATCTTACTTGCTCGATGAGATTGATAAATGAGAACAAATACAAAGTATCGTAGATTGGATAAAAGGTATGTTGAGCACATTTCCAATTATAAGAAAATAACATACCAAGTTAGCAACAAACTACTAGAAGAGTAGATCTCCATAATAGTTTTAAGAGTGACCACCTCCTCGCCATTGTACTTGGTACTTACTGTAGGCATATTTTCCGCAAGTTAAGTCCTCGCGGAGTAGCCGTAGATTTCGATTCTAGTAAATCCTAAAACTTGTGGAATTATTTCAAAACTACCACCCAAAAATTAAAAAATTCCAAAAATCCCACCATTTACACAAAATACCACCCTTCCCCAAAAATCGTGGCCCCTTATGGCGGTTTACAAAAGGACCGCATGGAGGTTCCGTGGTTATTACGCTGGGTTGGCCGCGGTTAACTTGCAGAACCACCCCTTCCCCCCAGGTTTGCTTTGAATTTTTTTTGATACTTCACACGGATATAACTTTGAGCTCAGGTATCTGATCTTAGCAGAAAAAATTGATTTCGCATAATTTTTTGAGATCTTGCAAACCGCAAACTTCTATGGACGGTTTTGTCCCGCGTTCGTCGCGGAAAATCGTCGTTAGCTACCTCGAACGAGCGATTTTTCAATTTTGCCAAACTTTGAAATGCCATAATTTTGTGCTCCGGAACTCGAACGCCATAAAAATAGTTACGCGAGCACAAAGTTATGGTCTTCAAAAGTTTGACGAAATCGAAAAAATTGCTCGTTGGGGGTAACAAACGACTTATTTCGCGATGAAGGCGGGAAATCGCCTACAGTGTTTGCACCTTGTAAGATCTCAAAAAATTATGCGGAATAAAAAAAAGTTCATTTGAATTTTCAGGAAAAAAATTTCATAGCTATACCGCGGGGGCTGCCACAGTGTCCTCCAGACCGCTGGCCACCCCATGTGGTTTTCAGCCTACAGGAACGAAAACTGCAGCAACCCCCTGCAGTTCTTATATAAACTGCCTTAGGGGTCGCGGTTTTAGGAAAAAGGTGGTATTTTAGGAATTTTTCGAAAGTGGGTGATATTTTTGGAATTTTTTAGTTTTTGAGTGGTCTATCTGGAAATTTCCCTAGATCAACCAACTAGCAACAAAACAGCTCAGCTCTTGAACTGGACATTTCTAAGGGGCTGGATACGGTCACTTCCCGTAAGTGGGTTGTGAGATTCATAACCAAAGACAATTTTGGCATGTAAAAAGAAAAGAATTTATTAATTAATTTTTCTGTATTAATTACAATTTTGAGAATTAAAAATCCATAATAAATACATGCTTTTTAAAAAAATTGAAATCCTACAATTATACACTTATATCTCTCTCTATCTCTCTGGTCCTTTTCCAGCAGTCTCTCCGCTCCGACCGCCAAACTTTCTCTGATCGCCGGACATTTTTCCGATGAAATCTTTCAATCAGACTCGCTCCGTCCACGTGCAAAAAAGTATCACTCTGTCAGTGAGCTAGTGGTAGTGGTAGCGTACCAGTACCACTGATAGCGTACCACTACCACTGGTAAAGAACCACTGCCACTGGTAGCGTACCACTAGAAAATCCCAGATCTGGAAAAAAATCAGAGGATCAGGAAAGAGAAAGGCAGGGGAGAAGCGATGACCTCAAGGCGTCAGCGTGAAGACATGAGGTGGTGGGAGGCAGAAGCGGTGTTGGTGGTGGTGGTGGGCGGTGGCAGCAGGAGGTGGATGCGGCTCCATTGTCGGATGCAGTGGGAGGTGGAGGTGGCGCCATGGTCGGAGGCAGCGGGAGGTGGAGACGGAGGTGGTGGCAGCACCGACATGGAGAGACGAAGGTGACACGGTGGTGGCGGCATGGAGAGATGGAGGGAGACGACGGCGGTGGCTAGGGTATTGGTTGGGAGGGAAGAGAGAGGGGAGAGGGGAGGGAAAATACGTGAGAGGAAGGGAGAGTGAGGTTTTTTTTTTTAAATGAAGAGGGGATTATATAGGAAATGGGAAAGGTAATTATGTGATAACTTTTTTCATTCCAAACCCTTCGTTTAATTTTAACCATCAGTTTGAAAAAGATAAAAGAGAGATAGAGAAGAGAGTGTGTCAAATGGCTAAGAAGTGGGTTGTGACCGTAACTCATCCCCAATTTATGAAGGACAATTAATAGAACCCCATCATATTACCCTGCTGGAGAAATCATCAAAGCGGTCGTAATATAATGAACCATCCATATAACAAATTCAAAATTCGTAAAATGAAGAAACCGCCCATAATGTTTTGAAAAAAAGAAGTAAAAAAGAAATTCAACCCAACTCGTTGAGTTACTCAGAGACTCATTCGTAACAAACTCTAATGATCAAACCATCTTCATCGTGGGTACCCAACTTGTACTACTCATCCGCAACCATTTCGTCTATGTCAAATCTCGTCCTCATCGTGGATGTCGTTGGAGTTGTCACCATCTGTATCCTATCTGATGTCCACCGCACTACCTATATCTAAGTGCAACTCGACGCCCAGATGAAAAAAACGAGCCTCGCAAACACTCGATCCTCTCGGTTGTTTTAGCAGTGATGCAAGGTATTTCTGTTCTATGTCACAAGCACCCAAATACGCGTTCATCTTCACCTCCTTCAGTACGGATCCCACTTTGAGCAAATATCTTACCATTCTCTTCTCCTCTGGAACTGCTATGAGATCATGGATCTCGATTTGCTCGAGGCTTGACGACAAACACTCGGGCCTGCAAACCGGCTCCGACTTCTCTCATCGCAGTCCTCATCCCCTTTCCCCTGCTCGGTATAGACAATTTGTTAAAAGGTAATTTGCAATTATGAATTTTATCTACCTACAATCACATCAAGGGACAATTCCATATGCCATAATATTGGAACATATGTAGTGTTCTACTACAAGTTTGACAAGATGAAAAGAGGGCATAACCACCAATGATGGATCTGAAATCACAACTCTCCATGGACAGCAAGTTGATAAGAAGTTGAAGACAATAATAATGGATGGATTAATTACATGGGCCTTGGTTGATTTATTGTAGAACATGTATATGCATAATGGTGGAAGAGACAAGGGCCATGTATATGGTTGTGTTCCATTATTAGTTTTTTATATTTCAATTATATAAATGTATGTGTGTTGTACGTATGGGAGAGAAGCAGAAAGAAGTGTCAGAGACACAAAAGAAAAAGAAAGAAAGAAGAAGTCTCCCATGCGTGTATGTATGTAAAGCAAGAGCCAAAATAATAAGGCCTTGTTTGTTTGAATGTTTCTTAAATTGAGTGATTAAACACCGAAAGTTTCATTTGTGTTGATCCTAATTTGGTATCAGAGCTAATACATTTCTATCCTTTCCAAAATCCCCAAATTTCTAGCCTACGCAAATTTTCTCAAAAATCCATGGCAACAACTTCCTCAAACACCATGTTTGCGACCTCTTCTAATCAAATTTCCAT